GCGCTCGTTCACTGTCCTCGGGGCCCCGGGCTGGCACGGTGGGTGCCCGCGCCCGCCTGCCCTGGAAGTCCCGGTTCTCTAAGAGCCGAGGCTTCTGGGAAACGCTTCCCTCGACTTCAGGACTTGGGTGTTTCCTTTAACGACTTGAGACAGAGATGGCTGAGGTGTACGGGACTCTCTCCTTTCCCAGTCGGGGTGCGGCATCAGGGGTAATGTGTCCTTCACTACTCAGCGTCATTGTGGGGCAACCCCTGCCCTCTCCCCGGGGGGATCAGGGCCTCCTTCCATGCCTTCCTAGCCCGGCCCCGGCCTGCCTCCTCCCCAAGAGCAGCCGTGGGAAGTGGGGATTCCTCGGGAAATCAAATCATCAAGCAGTTATCGGACAAGGGGCTCCTGTGCCGAGTGCCCCTCCCCCCCCAGGACTGGCTTCCTACAGACCTTACCAGGCGGTGACAGGTGTGGGAGGCCCCTCATGCCACTGCCCTGCCAAAACGCGGGGGTTTTCCTCAGCCCAGGGGAGGGGCGCCCAGGAGCCTGGTAACTAGGTGGAGGGTACAAAGGGCTGAGGTGTCCCCCTAGAGCTCATAAGCTGAAGCCTAACCCCTGAGGTGATGGTTTTAGGAGGTGGGACCTTTGGGGGTGCACCCGTATGATTGGGGCTAGCGCCCTTATCAAGGAGACCCAGGGAGCTCCCTCCCTCCCTCTGTGAGGATGAGGGCCAGGGCCAGAGTCTGACGGTGGCTGACGGCACCCTGAGCGCGGACTCCTGCCCACCCAGCTCCACACGCTGAGCAGTAAATTCCAGTGGACACGCCTCTGACCCCCGGCCCCGCCCTGCACCCCTCCTAGAGCCACTCCACACACCCCAAGGCAGCCGGAGCGGGCCTTCACCCACTTGGTCATTTTCACCATTAGCGGCTCCTTTCCACTCCCTTCGCAAGCCAGCCGGCAGCCCAGGAAGTGCGGTCAGAAAGGAGACGGAACTGGGAAGGCTCTGGGGGAAGGTGTGCGGCTAAGGACACCGAGGCTGCAGGGAACGTTTATGAACAGGTATTTGAGCCAAACGGAGGACGTGCCGGAAGCAGGAGCTCGAGGGGGGAGCAGGAGGACGGCCTGGAGGCGGAGGCAGGTGGGGATGGATTACGGGATAGTTAACAGGATCAGGTGCTCTCAGGGCGGTTTATTCCAAAGGCGTGGTGACCTAGACGCACAGAAACAATGAACGGGCTTGCTTACGGCCCGATGGCCTTGCACTAGAGTCGGAGGTTTGGGCGCGACCGCCACGACCTGCCCATTAGGATTTGTGAGGCCACCCTGAGGTAGCGCCACAGAACCCTTCTCCGTCCCCAGGTGGGTCTCGGTTTACAGGTTCCCAGGTGCTGACCTGGGAATGGCTTTGGTCCCTAAGGATCACGTCGGGGTGTGAACGGCTTCTTAGAGCCCACCCCCCACAGCCAGCAGGAGCCCCAAATGCCAACCAGTAGTCAAACCTCCATTCTGGAATGCCTCCCTTCTCAAAAAGTTACGTTCTCAACCAAGTGATTCATGGGAAAATGTCTCGGTTGTCAAACAGAACTTCAGTTCTTGATCCAACAGCCCTTTTATGCTGATACCTGCATGATCAGTCACTCGTCTCAGGCAGCAAAGGAGAGAATGTGCAGGTTAGGGTTAGGGTTAGGACTAGGGCTAGGGTTAGGCTTAGGACTAGGACTAGGGTTAGGGCTAGGGTTAGACTTAGGGATAAGACGAAGGTTAGGGTTAGGTTTAGAGCTAGGGCTAGGGTTAGGGAATAGGACTAGGGTTAGGGTTAGGTCTAGGACTAGGGTTAGGATACGGTTAGTGCTAGGGTTAGGTTTAGGGTTAGGGCTAGGTTTAACGTTAGGTCTAGGGTTAGGGTTAGGGTTAGGGTTAGGGTTAGGGTTAGAACTAGCATTATGGTTAGGGTTAGGATTAGGGTTAGGTTTAGGGCTAGGACTAGGGTTAGGGTTAGGGTTATGGTTGGGGCCAGGGCTAAACCTTGAGGTGTCATCTCAGGAAATGCCTTGATATCGGTGGGCTGATGGAGAGCCCTCTCCCGCCTCAGCACAGGTGTGCGCCGGAGAACAGTCCCCTTTGCCCGATGGTGTTGGGGCTGCATCTGCCGTGCGTTTGTATTTGTGGCTTTTTACAAAAGGATTCATTTCTTGGGCCTTTTCTGAGCGCATTTCTCTAACAGTGACATTTTCTCTACCGCCAACTGATTCAACTGGAAAACAGCAGCAGGAACACACTGCCCCGTGTGGGAGCCAGAGGGGAAGGATGGCTACCCCGCTCCTCTCGGACCCAGGCGGGCCTTGGAGTCGTGTTAAAACCTGGCCCTCACCCTCTGGTCTGAAGCCGCTGCCCTGGAAATGCGACTCCAAGTCACCCCTCAGACCCCCCTGGAGGACTCTGAGCTCGAGGCCCCGGTGCCCGGGTGCCATGCTGGTGACAGGTGTGCCCAGACCCCAAGCGGAGAAGAGACCAACAGGGTGAGAGCTGGGACCGGCGGCTGAAAGGCACCTGGGAAAGTCACGCCCTTGGGGCACACGGAAGCGACTTCATGCAGAGATGGTTGGGACCTTCATTCCAAACCGGAGCTACACGTGTCTGCGGAACCTGGTGGCGCAACCTGGACCCACACCCTACGGCACGCTCCGCCCAGGATGGCAGTTCTCATCTCCGGTGGCGGCGGCCCCGGAGCCCCACGCGATGTCTTCTCATGAGGAGCGGGGGGAAAGGCAGCAGGCGCCGGGCCTGCATTCCTAGAGTGAGGACGCCCGAATCCACGGGATTCTAGGTAGTGAGCTGGTTTGGGCTGAAAGTGTATGATGGATCAGAACTAAGGGTTTGCTGGGTGGTGAGACTTGGTCATAAAAATGTCTCCCTCATCCAGCCAGCGTGGCTCAGTGGTTGAGCATCCATCTATGAACCAGGAGGTCACGGTTCAATTCCCGGCCAGGGCACATGCTCAGGTCGCGGGCTCGATCCCCAGTGTGGGGTGTGCAGGAGGCAGCTGATCAATGATTTTCATCATTGATGTTTCTATCTCTCTCTCCCTCTCCCTTCTTCTCTGAGATAAAAAAAAAATACATTTTAAAAAAACACCAAAAATCTTGTTTGACAAGAAACCAATGGATTTTATTGTAAAAAACATATCTGCCTTCCTCACCAGGTAGAAGCTGACTCTTCACCTCCCGTGAGTCGGAGCAGTTTGGACAAGAATGATCAGACTCCCTCTGCCCTGTGCTCGGAAAGAGAGCCGTGGAAGGAAGGAAAGTGGGGGGCCCTGGGGATCTGGAGCACGATGGGGGATGCTGCAGAGATCACACCCGCCACAGGGAACCCCGGTGCTTCCTGTTTATGCGGCGGTGCTGGGAGACCAGACTGTGGGCCCGGGCGCCCCGGGATCGTGTGCACTGCTCACGGGACACCTCGCCCCCAGGACAACAGACAAGGGCCGTCGGGGCCAGTACGTCCCTTCCTGTCCACTGCACCCAGGACATGCTCCCTTCTGTCCGTGACGCCCCCCGAACAAGTGTCTGCTGTGCTCCGTCCCTGCTGCTAAGCCGAGGGCCAAGACCTCAGCCAATGGCAAAGCTCGCCACCACCACCAACTCCCAGGGGACCCTGTGCACCCACGGGGCACCCACTGAGCACCCCCGTGCACCCACAGCACAGCTAGAAACGGGGGCTGAGCCCCGCAGCACTGACCTTTTCCTGGTACAGCCTGTGCAGCCAGGCCGAGCACTGGTCCTCGTCCTCCGGGACCTGCTCCAGGGGGATCCGCCTGCAAGGAGGAGAGGAGAGCTGGGCCCGCGCCCGCACGGCTGCAGTGACGGGGTGTCCCTGGGCTCCCACACAGGGAGCCGAGGCCGGGAAGGGGTCCCCCAGCTGCTGGGAAATGGGAAGGGCATCCACATCCATTCTGGGGACACACCGGCCAGAAGGCAGTCATGGCCTTGGGAGGATGACCAGGGGACGGGGCCTCTCCACCCCCCGACCCCCCACTTCCCACCCCCCCGCTGGTGCTGGCAGGGGCTGGTTGCAGTGCGGACTCACTCCATCATTTCTAACTAAGGGGCCTGCAGAGCAAGGAGGTGAGTGTTCACACACGAGGGCCTTCCCAGAGGGCGGATGGTGCGAAGGGAGCTGCTTCCCCCTCACTCCTGCGCTCCCCTCCGAGATGGCTCACATCCTGCAGCGGGTTCCCCCAGCCCCGGCCCCGCTGACCCAAGTGCAGGTGCTGAAGGGACTAGCACAGTGATGGCGAACCCATGACACACGTGTCAGAGGTGACACGCAAACTCATTTTTTGGTTGATTTTTCTTTGTTAAATGGCATTTAAATATATAAAATAAATATTAAAAATATAAGTCTGTGTTTTACTATGGTTGCAAATATCAAAAAATGTCTATATGTGACACGGCATCAGAGTTAAGTTAGGGTTTTTCAAAATGCTGACACGCCGAGCTCAAAAGGTTCGCCATCACTGGAATAGGGGGACAGGCCTCGCCTCAACACTGGGAGGCCTCCTCTGGGTGGAGGGGGGGGGCTTGCTGCTCGCCCCCTCCCCCTCCTAGGGCTTCCCACTGGGTGATAAGGGGGGCGGTCCCCTGCAGGGTTTACAAAGGAACCAGTCCTAATGGTGACATTTCTTCCCCATTTAAGGGGGAACTGGAGTTGCTCTGAGATAGAAAACGGTTTAACTGAGGCTGTGGGTCCACCAGGAAAGCTGGAGCTTTCTCTGCA